CAGTTTTTAACACCAATCCAATTTACATTAAATCTTATAAACTTTCTAAAAATTTTTCTAGTAGAAAAATACGAGGTAGAACAAGACATATTCCGGCCCCAATCAGCGTGACAAATGCAGGTCTGCATAAAAAAAGTGAAAATAGTTGGAAGAAAAAGAACTTGCATGCAGTGCTGATGCCATAATAAAAAAACAGCATCAAACAGATACGTAGACAGTACATCTGAATGCTCAATCTGTAACATTTGTTTATGTGCAAGCTGTTTTGGACCATATCCAAATTTGGATAATATGAATACATAGATACAAGAGGAAAATATGAATACAAAGATTTAAATTATGTTATATACAACTGTTTTTTTTGTATTGACTTTTTAAAATAAATATTTATGTTGCATTTTAAATACAATTATATTGACGTTTATTATAATTACAAATGTGATTTTTTTACGTACAAACGTAAAAAATTTTACAGTTTATACATGATTAAAACATAATAAATAATTATTATTATTGAAAATTTACCTTTTTCATTACTTAATAATAAATTTCTAAAAAATAATATTATTTTAAAAAACTAAAGAATCCTTTCATTAAAAAGGATAATATTTCAATAAAATGTTTCATAAATAATTTAAAAATATTGTACAAAATATTAAAATATACACAAACACGAATATAACATAATAAATGATATAAAAAAGTAAGTTGCATTATAACTATAAATAATATACTAAAATCATATTAATATCAAAATGATATATGAAAAAAAGTCACAAAATAGTGTAAATAACATTTCATTCAACAATACAATAATATTTATTCTATACTAGCTGCAAGGACCCGCTTCGCTGGGTTATTATTTGTTCGTACATTTGTATGTAATATAGTTTTATATATATAAAAGACTGTTTTTCTAAGTAATCTAGAATCTAGCTGCAAGGACTCGCTTCACTGGGTTTTTATTTGTGGGCAAAAAGTAACGATAGTGAAGATTAAGATAATTACATTATAGCCAATCTTACCCGTTTTCACAGAATGCAAGAATTAAGTTCCCTGTTTCCAGACTAATTAGAGAATTTTTACAGTCCAGTCAAACGAACTATTTTCAATTTGATCAATTTTCTGGAACGTTTACAATCGTTCTATAACCGAACCAATTCAAATTTGAATACAAATTCGAAAATTTTTAAAATCAAAATAGAAAATCTTCCACTTTCAACCACTTTCAAGCCCATATCTCCTGCACTCTTATAGCTATCGAGACGCAACCACCATAGTGCATGAATGGAGACTTGGGGCTACTACCACATACAAACACCATTCATGTGCGATGTGTAGTTTTGGCTGAAAAGTGAAATATAGGGACACACACGTCCATTTATATATATATATATATACCAGGTTGTTCAATAAGTTTTGTCGTTCTATAAGAAAAACACTATTTTATGGTTTGAAATACATTTTATTATTCAATGTAATCTCCCTGAACTTCAATACACTTGTTCCAGTGATCTTCTAATTTATGGATTCCATTCCTAAAGTGAGAATCCGGAAGACTGTCGAAATACGCTTCCACGGCTGCTATTACCTCTTCGTTCGATGAAAATCGTTTCCCACGCATGAATTTTTTTAGATGTGAGAACAGCCAGAAGTCAGAGGAAGCTAAATCTGGCAAATAGGGAGGATGTTGCAACAATTCGTATTTTAATTTACTGATTTTCGCAATGGTTTTTTGAGCTGTGTGAGAGGGGGCATTGTCTTGATGAAAAATGATTTTTTTCTTTTTTAAACCAGGTCTTTTCTCACGAATTTTTACATCTAGCTGGTCCAAAAGGTTACAATAATAATCTGAGTTTATTGTTTTACCAGTTTGGAGGTAATCCACAAACAAAATTCCTTTTGCATCCCAAAAAACTGATGCTAACACCTTCTTGGCCGATTTCTGGACCCTAACACGCTTCGGAGCCGAAGTACCGGGTTCACACCACTCTTTAGCCTCTTGTTTTGATTCAGGATCATGGTGGTAGACCCATGTCTCATCCATAGTGATGAAACGACGCACAAAATCCTTTTTATCCTTTCTAAAACGCTCCAAATGTTGCTGAGAAAGTTGCATTCGAATGTGTTTTTGTTCCATAGTTAACGAATGCGGCACCCATTGTGCACACAGCTTTCTGTAACCCAAAACTTCAGCCAAAATATTGCTCACACTGCCTAACGAAATCCCTAGGGCTTCTACTAAATCTCTCTCGGTTAATCGACGATCTTCCAAAACCATATGCTGTATTTTTGCTACGATTTCTGGTGTTGATGCACTTTTTGGACGCCCTTCACGTGGATCGTCTTCAAGACTCGTACGACCACGTTTAAATTCAGCAACCCATCTTTCTACTGTTCTGATTGAAGGTGAAGAGTCCTTATACACTTTTAACAATCGTTCATGAATTTGTTTTGGTGCTACACCTTCCAAAAATAAGAATTTTATCACTGCACAATATTCAATTTTTTCCATTGTAAAAAAATACAATGACACGTCGACTTTGAACAGCTGAAAATATACAATGAGTTGACGGATCTACTTGAAACTTGACACGTGTTTATGAAATAGTAGTACTATTTATAGAGTAATAAAGTGATGCTTCTAATAGCGCCACCTCTTATCGAACGACAAAACTTATTGAACAACCTGGTATATATATATAGATTAAAAAAACACAGTATATACAAAACAAAAAAGATTTTATAAACATTACCAATTGACATTCAATGTCACCCTGAAATGAAAATGAACTCAACCAAGTGGGAAGGGAGTAGACAAAACGTAAAACGAAACCAGTAAAACAACTTTTCCTTTGGCCAACTTCGTCTTGAATGAATTAAGCCGATTTAGGCTGACTTCCGTGTTTAAAGAGTTAAACTATAATTGTCCAGGAAAGTTGAACAAAAATTAGTTAATAGTATATTTAGAATATGCACTATCAAGAATAAATATAGAAACTAAAGATAACATAAGAGCAGATTTAGCAAAAATGATGAAACAATTTGATAAAAATAAAAATTGCAAAAAATATGCTAAATTTCAAAATTATATTAAAAAAATTAAAAGCATACCTCAAAGACAATAGTTTAAGTACAGTTCCAGCTGATAAATCAAAACAAGTAGTTATCTTAGAAATAAATAAACTCCATGAAATTAAAGCAGATATCACTTCAACTGACAAGTATGTTCAATTTCCCAAGGACCCTACTAATAATATTACATATTGCCTACAGAAGGAGTCCAAAAAATTACTTAAACTAAACAAGATTGATAAGAGTGAATATCAATTTATCATGGAATATAATATTAAGGTGCCCAAAATTAACATCAGAGTTAAGACACATGAAAAGGAGGAAACTTATAGATTACTGGATATTAAAAATTATCCTCTTTACAATTTAGAAAAACTGCTCATCATTTACATATTTATTTCTTACATCAATTATGATATATTTTTAAACATTTAATATTATGAAAGATGAAATAACTTTCTGTACACTAATTTACTTGTGATTATACTTTATTTGATATAACTTAATATCTACGTACTTGATGATAACTAAGTCCTCACTTAACATTGTAAACAGAATCTTGAATACTGCAATGTTAAGCAAAACAGCATGTAATGTAGCCATAATTTTAAATAATTACAAATGCATGTGGATCATTTGACAAGTTTGATAAATTTTTATGAGATGTCACCACAATTCATTCAGTGACATCACAGCTTGTAACTGTCATTTTTTCAAACTAGCTCAGGCCAGATTTCAGCCATAAGCAATGCATTTTTCATATTTTACAGACATTTGAAGCAAGCATAGATATATCCAAATAATAGAAGAAAAAAAAGTTCCATGAGTTTCAAGGCTGCCCAGATCAAAACGGAATTGGATGAAGTTCATGGGGACTCTGCACCAGCATTGAAGACTGCCTATTTCTGGATAAACAAATTTAAACGTGGAAAAACATGCACTGAAAATGAAGTTCACTCTGAATGTCCGGTTAAGGTAATCATGACAGAAATCATTGAAAAAGTTCATGGTATTGTTATGGAAGACCACAGAGTAAAAGAGTGGGAGATTGCCGAGACTATCTCAAATGAGTGCACAATATCCTGCATAAAAATTGCAGATGAAAAAGCTGTGTGCACACTGGGTGCAACAGTTGTTAACTGTTGACCAAAAACACATGCAAAAGGACATTTCAACTCTGTGTTTGGTGATATTTAACCACAATTCACAGGACTTTTTACATTGATTCATAACTGTGGATAAAAACATGGATTCACCATGAGTCAAAACAGTGGACAATAAGTGATAAAAGTGCATTGAAGAAGGTGAGAATCATTTTGTCAGTGGGATGGTGATGGCCACCGGTTTTTGGATTTCCAAGGAATTATCCTGGTTGATTACTCTGAGAAGGAAAAAAAAACAACAGCAGGAACCTATTATATAATATTTCAAAGAAAAGATGAAACAAAAACAGCCAAGATTGGCACACAAAAAAGTGCTCTTTCACCAAGACAAAGTGCAGTCACACAAATTGACAGTTGTAATGGCAAACCATTGCAACTGGCTAGGTGAGAAAAAGTTCTCATCAAACATGGATGATGTTATTGCCATCAATGCATATTTGCAGACCTTAAAAAAAGCTACTTTTCTGATGGGATTAAAAAATTGGAGACTTGCTGGACCAAGTGAATAGCCTATAAGCTATAAGTGTAGGCAAAAAGCAGCCACTTTTTGCCTACACTTATCAATGATCCTTGTATTAGGACTTGTTGTAATATATATATACATACAGCAAGCCTTGTTATTGTTTAATTAAGCTAATAATTATCTGCTTATTCAAGCAATTTGATTAATCAAACTTCCTTGATCCCAATTATTAATAGTTTGGATAAGCAATGCTCTATTGTACATGCATAAAATTAATAACTTTTATAATAGTTTTTTACCTGAGGCTGATGCAAGCTGTCTCTCAAAACTATTTGAAGAACTTTATTCTCCTTAATCCACTCCTGAAAACAAATAATAAAAATGATCAAATTTAGTTATTTCACATCAGCTAAATAAATTTACTGCNTTATTTATTTATTTATTTATTTAATTTTAATTATTAATTTAATTAAGAGATGGCGCCTAACACCTACCTCTAATGTCAAATTTACTTTAATCCAATCATTTAATTAGCCGTGTTATAGCCCGATATTTAGGCAATCGTTTGGCAATTGTTCATGAAATATTTTTACGTTGTGAACTGTAACTTATAATATTTTTTTATATTGTTTCCTCTGTATACAGAGGAATCCTTCAAGATCAAATTAAGTTGAATTGAATTGGTTAGGAAAAAAATTTTTGTAAACAATAAAATTTGTAAAATCTATTAGAAAATGTTCATCAGAAAAATGTCAGTTTTGTACTGTTCAGAATCAATAGATAATCATTGAAATTCAAAACAAAACATTAAAATTCAATTTATTAAATTTTAATTATCTATGCAGTTATAAATAAAAAGACAAATTTTTATACACTTAAATCTGCTTATTGTACTTTGGATTCACCTGATAAAAACTAAAAAATAGTAACTAAATGTCTACTGACTAGCTTCTTATCCCTTTTTTATTTAATTAAATTTTAATTACTGTAAAATTTCAGTTATTTTAAGGGTTACCAAACTAAGAGATCTTGAGACCATTATTTTACTATAACACTAACCATTACAATATACATCATTTAACTCTGACATCTGAAATGCATTTTGGCACTTCAGTTAGATTTCTCAGTGATGTTAAATAAAAAAAGGAAAGAACCATGTATGAAGAACTCAAGAATTGGTGATTAAATAAGAAAATTGTCAAAGGAATGTGAGATATAATAAAAGAAAATGTGAGAAATTATAAGAGTTGTTAAGAACAGTTCTAAAAACATGGATACAAGTAAGCCTCTACAGGACAAGATAAGATATATAAAGGAAAAGATGGCAAAAATTACCAGTACTGTTCAATGTAAAACTTTTAATGGAGAGGAAGTTTTAATATTTGTCACACAAAATGTGATAGGGTTAAAAAATTGATAGAAAAATTTTTGTTTCAAAGTTTTTAAAAGGTTTAAATTAAATATCTTAAATTATATTTTTAAAATAAAAATGTACTTCACAAAATCTGGTATAATAGCTGATAAATACTTAGATTTAGTATATGTCTCTTCAATCCGAATGGTTAACAAACGGTAGACTTTCTTTCAGCTCTGAGGTTAAGTATTCCTTTATTGTAAATTACATATGCATTTCAGGCTTGTATGAGCCCCTCTTCAGTGTAAATTCTACACAAAATTTAAAAACAAAAAATCAATTTACAAAATTTTTTTCCCGGTGTAAAGATTAACCAACATTAAATTCTTTTTCGTACCTCAGATGGTTGAGTAACACTTTTTAAAAATTGTATGACATCAACAATGACATTATTACCAACGAAACACATGAATAACAATCGTATATGAGTATAATTCCCAAACCTTAAAAACAGTAAATATCTATTATCTTCTTGCATATTATTACCCATTGTATTATTATATTATTACATATTACATTTTTTACAATTTACATTTTTTTAATTATACAAATTACATTTACAAATACAATTTAAAAACACCACAATGTTTTAGTTATTTCTATTTACAATTAAATGATTTTGTTNGAGGCAGCTTATTGGCGCGAAATTCGCGGCCGTGAATGCCAAACAATTGTTGTCATAGACTTCTTAAAGCTAAATGCTTGTAATGAAAGTCACTTAGTGTGCGTGGGCGAAAGCCTGGGGTCGTTCGGGCTACCAAGCTGTTTCGAATCTGTGAAATCATAACTGTGACTTATAACGACGTCCTATCTGTCTTTTTTCTCCGTTATCACCAAGTTATCTCCGTTATCACGTGATATCTAAAAAGTTTATTTGATTGTGTTTCTCTTCTTCAATTTCAAATTTTATATTCTCATTTATATTATTTATCTTATTTAATATTATTTCATCATTAGTTATTTTTTTTATTATAAATTACTAAATAATCATCTACATATCTCATTACACCTTTTACACCTGGAATGTTTATTTTTTTATCTATGTTTATCATCACTAACTCTGCTAGTCTTGGCCTCATCTTCGACCCCATACTGATCCCATCTATTTGTTGGTAGAATTTATTGTCTATCTCAAAATAGTTATTATTATAAGCAAATTTGATAAGATCTTTTAATGTTTTTTCTACGTTTAATTCCTTTAAGCTTGTTTCAATTAGATTCCATTTTATGTTTGGGTACATGTTCTTAACGTCAAGACTTATTAACTTATCAGTTTTTTATTTTTTTATTTTTTGAATATTATTTATAGCTTCATCCGTATTCTTTATACTATTTTCAGACCTTTCTATATTTTTTAATTGTCTTTTAATATAGTTTTCTAAATTGTATAGTACTGAATAATGAAAATCTACAATAGGTCTGTATTTTTCTTCCTGTTTGTGTGTCTTTAACCTTACTTTCAATTTAGGGGTTCTATTGTTTTTAAAATTAAGGATATAATTTTTATCATTATCCGTTATACTATTATTTAAATGCATTTCTTTTATTAATTTAGTTAATTCTTTTTTTATTTTATCATATGGGTCCTTATTCAATTTCACATATTGATCATTATTTACTTGTTCTTCCAATTTATTTTTTAATTTGTTATTATCAATTATTACAAGTTGTTTAGTTTTATCTGCTTTAATTATTGAAAGATTATTAGTTTTTAGGAAAATTTTTGTTTTATTTATTAATGTCTTATATTTATTCATTTTGTACTTATTTTTTTGGAATAGCTTTTTAAAATTTTGGATAAATATTCCTATAAAATTAGCCTTCTTTTCTTTTTTAATCGGTAAATCTTTTACACTTTTAACAATATTTTCAGGCCCGTAGTAGATTCGGCCGTATCCACAATGTATGGACGGCTGGTTGGGACGAAAATCAACATATCCGTAAAAAACGACCTATAATAATTTTTAAAGTTTCCGACCTGAACTCGAACCTGAGTCTACCAGAACGGCAGAGTGGCACCTTTACCGCAATGCCATCCTTCTGTCTGTTTAGGATACGGTGAAAGCTATAGACCAGGTTAGGATTGGGCAATCCATTCGTGCGATCGATGGTAGTGATCGAATTTTTCACCGGATGCTCGCCCTCTAATGTTTAAAACAAAACTATTTTATCTGGGTTGTTTGAATCATTTCAGTGAATTCTCAACCGTAAAGATGAAAGATAGAAAAAGCAAAGCTTTCTGTTGTGTTCGAAATTGCAATTTCAAAGCCACACGAGAACCCAATATAAGTTTTTCTCTATTTCCACATGAAAAACATTATTGATGAATTTTCTAATGGAAGCTGTATTATGTGTTAAATAGGTAAATGTCTCTTCAATCCGAACAAATTTTCGGTAGACTTTCTCACAGCTGTACAGGTTATAAAACTCCTTTATTGTTTACATATGCATTTCGGGCAAGTTTAATTTTCTAGCCCCTCTTCAGTGCTACAAAACAAAATTCATATTGAATTTACACAAAAACAACTCGAGTAGAAAATGTTTACAAGACATAAAAAGACATTTTATAATACCTTAAGATACTCCACATGTTTCATCATCCTTTTCACAGTACTTGTACTATAAATTTGTAATGTTTTCTAATTTATAATATCTTTGACAATTTCCATTTTTTCTCTTAAGGGCGTTTTACATCGAAATCCATATCATTATGCTACACAACTAATTACAAATTATAATTATTAGTAACATTTTAATCACTTATTTATAACAAATTTTTTTCTTTAAAAAAATTTATTTACAAAAAATACATACATACAGGTTTTCTTTAAAAGTGNATTCCAGGTGTAAAGGGTGTAATGAGATATGTAGATGATTATTTAGTAATTTATAATAAAAAAATAACTAATGATGAAATAATATTAAATAAGATAAATAATATAAATGAGAATATAAAATTTGAAATTGAAGAAGAGAAACACAATCAAATAAACTTTTTAGATATCACTATATTTAATAAAATAGATAAATTTACTTTCAAAACATATAAAAAATCATGTGATGTAAATAAAACCATAAATTATTACTCTTATACACCTGAAACCATCAAGAAGAACACATACATAATGGATATAAAAAATATATATACTAGAACTTTGGATGAAAATGATAGAAAAACTGAATTAAAAAAGTTAGATAAAAAATATATTTTGAATAATTATCCGATGTATAAATTGAAGAAATGGCATAAACAATATTATAAAAATCGATTTAATACCAAATATAAAATTAATAAAACTTATAAATCTTTTCCTTATATTAATGATATACATAATAATTATAATAAAATTTTAAAGGAAGAAAATATAGTTTTGGCCCCGTCTTTAATTAATAAAATCTCACACAACATCCATTCTGATAATATAAAACATACAAATAAAGTAGACAAACTAAAAAAATCGGATGTTGTATATAAAATAAGGTGTGATTGTATAAATCCAAAAAACTATATAGGTGAAACAGGTAGGCAATTAGAATTACGAATTAAAGAGCATGAAGCCGCTATAAAATTAAAATATAACAATTCCCCTTGGTTCGATCACATAAATATTAATAATTGTAAGATTGACAGAAATAACATAAAAATATTACATTATGAAAAGGAAATATATAAATGCAAATTTAAAGAACATATTGAAATAATAAAAAATAGTAATAATAATCTAGTAAATTTATCGAATGGTATGCAGATTGATGAACAATGGTATAATGTAATAGAGGGCGTGTCGTGACTTAAACTGTAACAAATGTGTCATATGAAGTAAAAAATTGTAAGACCATGGATGAATGTAATAAAAAATAAGCCCGTATGTATATTTTTGTACTTCTTCCTTTTTTTTGGTTTTAAAAATTAACAAAATCATTTAATTGTAAATAGAAATAACTAAAACATTGTGGTGTTTTTAAATTGTATTTGTAAATGTAATTTGTATAATTAAAAAAATGTAAATTGTAAAAAATGTAATATGTAATAATATAATAATACAATGGGTAATAATATGCAAGAAGATAATAGATATTTACTGTTTTTAAGGTTTGGGAATTATACTCATATACGATTGTTATTCATGTGTTTCGTTGGTAATAATATCATTGTTGATGTCATACAATTTTTAAAAAGTGTTACTCAACCATCTGAGGTACGAAAAAGAATTTAATGTTGGTTAATCTTTACACCGGGAAAAAAATTTTGTAAATTGATTTTTTGTTTTTAAATTTTGTGTAGAATTTACACTGAAGAGGGGCTCATACAAGCCTGAAATGCATATGTAATTTACAATAAAGNCAAAGTGGCGATTCTGGTCGTTGGTAACGATCTCGTCTTTGTTGTTGATGTCACGATTCTATTCGGTTGATTATACATGTTCGGGTTATCTGCGCGCACAACACGGTATAGAATTTTAACCAATGAAATTGTAAAATTTTCGAAAATGCGGAGTACATAATCATAGATAACGTGGCAAGGAAAGCACGTAATTTCAACGAATTTGTTTTTTGTTTTATAACATTTTTACAGATTGTAATGTCAATTTATCTCTTAACAAATAAAAATTTTAATAACCTAAATTAGAAAAGCGTGTGTACTTAGATATTTTTCGAAATATTACCATCTAATTTCTCCTTAACTATCTAAGTAAGATTAACATCATATTTGATAGTTCAGTAATTGATGTAGGATAATTAAAAAAAAAGAAAAAAATGTAATCAGTGACATTTCCAAGTAGGCAGTGGAAAAAAATCGGAAGCATTTTCTCTCTCAAAATGTTCTTTTCCTAGATAGAGAACGTTTTATAATGCGATCGTATAGCACGAGTAGCATTCAGTCGTCCATATTGGATATAATGAAATCGAGGTGAAAGACGATAGGCCAGTAGAAAGACAACTATCCACTTGTCTCTGATAAACGAGAGAAGAGAAGAGAGATAAAGTTGTCCAGAATCGCGTTTAGAGAGACGCGATGATCTCTTGAGACGTAAACAAATGATTAGCCAATCAGCGATTGGCTTGTGAGAGACGATGACCAGAATATGGCCTCTGGTGTCTCTCTCTCTCTCTCTCTCTCTCATCTCTCATTCTGGAATCAACAGATGCTTTAATATTTTATATTAAAATTATTCGATGATGGTGGTGATATTACTGGAAAAGTGATCAGAATTGAATCAAACTCTATATCATGAATGAAATTCAGTGTTTCTTGACAGCTGGTTTATTTTCTTAAATATAATTTTCTTACAAAGCAATACCTTTATTTACTATTGAACACAAGACTGTGTTATTATTAAAACTGAATAAACTGGATTATTATTTTATATTACTTTATTCAACTGAATAAAGTGGATAAACGCCAAGTGTTTTAATAATAACACAGTCTTGTGTTCAATAGTAAATAAATAAGAAAACATGGTTTCAAAAAAGGAATCAAAAGCAATACCTGTAATTTTATAATGAAGAGATGATAAAATTTAATTGATGTACTTGAGATACAAAAATAAATTAATTTTGTTTAATCAAGGGTTATATCCATTTTGTAAATTTTGTTTTGTCAATGTCTCATTTGATCTTTTTATGTTCATATTTTCTTAATGTAAGAATAAGATGTTTGGGTTTAGATATATTTAATTGTGATAAACAAGATTTAAAATTATATCATTTAGACATATCAAAGAAGTCAAGATATGGTTTTGTTAACTTCATGAAATCTATAAATAACATCAACTCACAGCCCGAGTAATATATAATCAATTGCCAAACGATCGCCTAAATATCGGGCTATAACACGGCTAATTAAATGATTGGATTAAAGTAAATTTGACATTAGAGGTAGGCGTTAGGTGCCATCTCTTAAGTAAATTAATAATTAAAATTAAATAAATAAATAAATAAATTTAGAACATTCTGGAATAAAAGAACAGGCCCGGGACGGGGCTTGAACCCGCAACCTCCGCTTGCCGTGCGGTGCGCTTGCCAGTTACGCCGGGTGGCGTAACTGTCTAATGTCAAATTTACTTTAATCCAATCATTTAATTAGCCGTGTTATAGCCCGATATTTAGGCGATCGTTTGGCAATTGATTATATATTACTCGGGCTGTGAGTTGATGTTATTTATAGATTTCATGAAGTTAACAAAACCATATCTTGACTTCTTTGATATGTCTAAATGATATAATTTTAAATCTTGTTTATCACAATTAAATATATCTAAACCCAAACATCTTATTCTTACATTAAGAAAATATGAACATAAAAAGATCAAATGAGACATTGACAAAACAAAATTTACAAAATGGATATAACCCTTGATTAAACAAAATTAATTTATTTTTGTATCTCAAGTACATCAATTAAATTTTATCATCTCTTCATTATAAAATTACAGGTATTGCTTTTGATTCGTTTTTTGAAACCATGTTTTCTTATTTATTTACTATTGAACACAAGACTGTGTTATTATTAAAACACTTGGCGTTTATCCACTTTATTCAGTTGAATAAAGTAATATAAAATAATAATCCAGTTTATTCAGTTTTAATAATAACACAGTCTTGTGTTCAATAGTAAATAAAGGTATTGCTTTGTAAGAAAATTATATTTAAGAAAATAAACCAGCTGTCAAGAAACACTGAATTTCATTCATGATATAGAGTTTGATTCAATTCTGATCACTTTTCCAGTAATATCACCACCATCATCGAATAATTTTAATATAAAATATTAAAGCATCTGTTGATTCCAGAATGAGAGATGAGAGAGAGAGAGAGAGAGAGAGACACCAGAGGCCATATTCTGGTCATCGTCTCTCACAAGCCAATCGCTGATTGGCTAATCATTTGTTTACGTCTCAAGAGATCATCGCGTCTCTCTAAACGCGATTCTGGACAACTTTATCTCTCTTCTCTTCTCTCGTTTATCAGAGACAAGTGGATAGTTGTCTTTCTACTGGCCTATCGTCTTTCACCTCGATTTCATTATATCCAATATGGACGACTGAATGCTACTCGTGCTATACGATCGCATTATAAAACGTTCTCTATCTAGGAAAAGAACATTTTGAGAGAGAAAATGCTTCCGATTTTTTTCCACTGCCTACTTGGAAATGTCACTGATTACATTTTTTTCTTTTTTTTTAATTATCCTACATCAATTACTGAACTATCAAATATGATGTTAATCTTACTTAGATAGTTAAGGAGAAATTAGATGGTAATATTTCGAAAAATATCTAAGTACACACGCTTTTCTAATTTAGGTTATTAAAATTTTTATTTGTTAAGAGATAAATTGACATTACAATCTGTAAAAATGTTATAAAACAAAAAACAAATTCGTTGAAATTACGTGCTTTCCTTGCCACGTTATCTATGATTATGTACTCCGCATTTTCGAAAATTTTACAATTTCATTGGTTAAAATTCTATACCGTGTTGTGCACGCAGATAACCCGAACATGTATAATCAACCGAATAGAATCGTGACATCAACAACAAAGACGAGATCGTTACCAACGACCAGAATCGCCACTGTGTATGAGAGACGAATTTCGTCTCTCGCTTTGACGTCATTTGTCGATGAAAGAAGAGAAGAGAGATAAGTGACCAGAATACGGCCCCAGCAGATTGTGTACAATAATTTATACATCATCTATTCTAATTTTAAGTTTATTTTTAATTGTTAAAATTTTATAAAAACAGACAGATCCAAAGATGATTTTTTGCTTATCTATTTTTTAATATACAGGGTGTTACAAATAACGGGAACCAGTCCCATCACTGAGAATGACTTAAAAAAAAAAAATGATTACAATTTAATTAATTATAAACTTTTCAGGGACAAGTGATTATTTTCATGCATTTTAAATACAGTAGAGCGTCATTTATCCGGAAGTTGGTCAACCAAAAGCGTTCCAGTTGGCAAATTTCAATTTCTGCTAGTGCTGTGGCACTGCAACCTTTGGCTATATCTTGGGCTACTCCAATATCTTTTTGTTGGTGTGTGTGTTTTAGATGGTAGCACTGGCACTTTTGTGTGGTGTTTTTCTGAGGACTGTGTGTCGTACTGAATCAAACGTTTTTGATACTAGATTAACTTCTAAAGTATATATTTTTTTGTTTTTATACTTTTCAATGTATTTATTTTGTTTGTAAAAAATAAAAAAATAATTTTTAATGATACAATAGCCACGATTATTATTATAAAAATTTATGTTAGGCTTAACATCAACAAAAATTCAACGCAAAGTGACATGCAACGGAGAAAAATTTCAACATGGGATAAGTTAATATATTTTTTCACACATAATTGGTTATCCAAAAAATAAGTTATCCAAACAACCCAAGTCCCCAATTGATTCAGATAAACGACACTCTACTGTACTCTCTTATATTATTTTCAAAGTATGTTCTTATTTTAACTCTCAATAAATACATAAACATTAATATTTGTAAAGTTCTTCAACTTTTAAACATGTCATAATCTGTATTTCAAAAATAAAGATAAAAATTTTAATTAAAATTTAAGAAATTTTATAACTTCATCATTTATTACACTTACAGCCATCCTTTCTGCAGTTAGCCATTCTTCTTCTTCAATACCACTATGTCGATGAGAGTAGTATGAAACACTTGCTATAACTTTATTCACTTCATTAAGAGCATTCATTTTTCCATTAAATGATGATATCTGCAACAATCTGCAAAAATATTATTTAAAATTATTTATTTAATAATTATGACAAATCAAATATTTTTTTAAGTTGATACAAATATCTTTATAAAATGAATTTACTAATTAAAAAGAGGTTTAATTTTAAATAAGTTTTGTTTTTATTCAAAAGCTAAAAAAACTAAATACAGTAAAATCCAATTATTGTAATCATTGTTAATGTTATCAGTCAAGTAATGTTGATGGACAGATGGCTGATTAATCAAGGTGACAGCCTACTGGTCTGGGAATCCAGAATTGAAAAACCTCAGGAATTTTTCAAGAGTGGTCTGTCTGGATATGTTGAGCCTGTCCCATTCTGGACCTGGCTTAATCCATAATAGACTTGCTTAGAAGATCCTCTTAGTGCCCACAAGATGGAAAATGGGAAGTCTTAAAAATAATAGTGGATAAATTATTACAATTAATAAATCTTCAAGTTATGTTTTTAATTATTTTTAACATGTCTTTAATGTCAATCGATAAAATAAAAATTTACAGTAATTATAGTCTTATTTATTTATCTTTCTTATGTTGCTACCACTGATACTATAAACCAGTGTTTTTCAACCTTCTTGGATACGCTACCCCTTTACAAGTTAAAAAATTCTGGCAACCCCTCAGGGCCACATTAAAACTATATCAGTGATTTTAAAAACTATGTATTTAATTTTCTTTCTGTTGAGAGCTAAATATCAATCGAAAAACCAATTGTACTGTAAATTTTACAGTACAATTGGTTTTTCAGGTTTATTTTACAGTGTAAATAAACAGGCACAGCCTTCTCACTGAAATTGTAGTTTTTTTATTGTAGTGTAGGACCTACAAACACTCGTCTTTTTCTTTTACCTGTGACCCCCGTGTAAAGCTTTGCGACCCCCTAGGGGTCACGACCCACAGGTTGAAAAACACTGCTATAAACAAACCCAAAAGTGATTACAATACATGGAATTTATTGTATTAAGTGGTTCTGACTCGATCTTTTTCCTTTTCTTCCTAGAACTGTATACTGTAAGGTCTCGTTTTATGCGGTGGATATGTTCTACAGAAAAGCGCAAATAAAAAATTCGCATAAAAAAAGACTTTACTTGCCTTGAAAAAGTAGGAATACGTTCCGTAATTTTCTAAAATCGCATAAAACCAAAACAACGAGTTAAAATTAACTTAAAACCGCATAAAAAAGTTTGCAGAAATTAAGAGAAATAGGCTGCTTAATTAATAAATTACTTCGAATGTCTGAAAGAAATTCATATAAAAGCTTAAAATAAACTTGTATTCAAACTTAATTCAGTTTATTTTATTGAAAAGTAATA